TCTTTGCCTGTCTGTTTGCATGATATCAAACTGCCAGCAAATGCATATGTTTTAAAACAAGTCAGCTGGAAACTTAAAAATTTAAGTTTCAACCAACTCATCGAGTTAGCGTTAGCTAGCTAGAGCTAATTAAATCTAGCAGCTAGCAGCAGTTGCCATTGCAGCCGACAAAACAGATGAATGAAAAGCTGCTTCAAGTTGAATTTTTGTGGTAAATCTTCCACCGTTATCATTGTACACTGCACATTATGTGCCCTGTGAGAAAGAAGCTTGGGGTGTAGAAACAGCAACGAGGCTTAAAAGTATATTTTAAAAATCTTCCTGTTTTAACATCTAATGAACAGATCTTTCATCCTTGATTCTTTGAACTTCATAACTGGAACTCTGGGGCATGATATCTCATTAAACATAAATAAAAAAGGATTTAGCCAAAGATGCATGCTAGGAAGGACTTGACCAAGATTAATTAACGTGGGTCGGTACTGAGGCAACGCACCTATTTTTTTCAGTAAGACTTTGTAGTGAAGATTTTTTTGATGATCCCCTCCATTAGCCCTGAGTGAAGCTTTATGAAAATACATTACATAATTCTGCATTATACAGTGTAAACAATGAATTTTTAATGGCTCAGATAAAATAAACTTGTAGTAGGTTCTTTCAGTGTTTGTGCATTATGTTGGTATTTTTATTTGACATGTTTGGAAATTGTGATTAAATGTGTAATTCAACTGAGAGAGAAGCGCAATAAAAGAAGACATGATTTGTTTTTAGTTTGGTTGAAGAGCCCTTGCTCTGATGCTTTGTTATGACATTTTCAAATAATCAATCTAATTACAGAGGTTATATGGGAATATTTATTGTATATAGCCTACAGATAAAATACCAAAGAGTAGAACAGATTAGTCCCCATGTGCTTTAAAACCACCTCCATTATGCCTGTACAATAAAGTTGAATCTAATCTAAAAAAAATCTAATCTAAAGGATTTATTTATAAATATAAAATACGAGAGAGAGAGACAGGGAACCGGCAGGTGGTAAAAAACACAGGTAGATGTCTGACAAAATGTAGACGGAACATTGGGACTGCTACAGGTCGTGGTACACTCTGCTTTTTCCAATAAATTATAAAAAGAGTTCCATATTTTCCAGAATTTGTTGTTTTTGTTGTTTTTTCAATTGCCAGATAAAAGCAAATTTCACAGTGAGTTGAACTATGTACAGTTTGAAGGTTTCTATTACAAAGTGAGTTGTCCCAGAGTTGTTACTGCACCAGTACATTAACTGAAACCATTAAAATATTGCTTGTACTGCAAATACTGCTAATAAATAACTTTCCTATTTAATGTAAGTCACTCTACATGGACAGCAAACTAACCGTTATAACCTAATATCATATTACAATTTATACGTTAGCAAAAATTTATATGCAGGATGTGCTTTCACACCATTAATCAAATGTTTCCAGCCATCAACCATGTTGTCTGCAATGTTTCTAAGTTTATGACTTCAACAACTCTGCAACTCGTGTACCATATTCTTTTAAATTTCCGAGTTGTTCTTCCGATGTCAGGGGGCGTTTGCATTAATTTTTCCCATGCGACAGAATTTTAAGCTCTGGGATTTGATGTTTCTTGCCGAAATGCACCTTGAGAGTCATAGTTAACGTAACCTCAAAGTTTTTATGTACACAAGCTTGTAGAGCTACCTTCAACTTTTTCTCAAACAAAGATATATTTTCCCTCTGTGAGTAAATTGAGTATATATTTTAGTGGTATCCCGGATGAACAGTCCTATAATTTAATCCAGAGTGTTACTGTACAGTACAGAAACCAGAATGATACAGCGTTACAGCTCTGTTCGGTCAGGTGAGGTAATGCTATGTTGTCAAAAAATGAAATAGAAAAGGGCACCGTCGTCATCAAGGGGTAAAGTGGCACAGCCCTGGGCCCCCCCTGCCCTCCTCCACGTCCATACAAATTCATGTGTTAGATAACTTCACTGAAAACAAACACAATCCACAAGAAATATGGTGCACTGGCCTAAATGTGCTTACAGTTTATTCTCATACATGAATTCATCGTTATATAATATAAAGGTTTTTATGATATCAAACTCAGCAAACAAATTAATGCATTCTGCCTTCATAGCACAACAAAATGTGCTTGAATGTCCTTGAGTGCTGTTTTGAATTAATATATCAGATCAATGCTTGTGTGTTTGTGTACAGCCTCACCGTCCAAACAGCATAAAATCCATCCTGTATTTTAATTTTATCTGTCTGGTTAACTATATTCATCATCACCCACTTACATCACGTTTATCTGATAATTTATTAATTTTTTTAATTTTTATTTATATAGTGCCAAATCCAAACAACAGTTATCTCTTAGATATCGCTTTTCATAAAAGAGCAGGTCTAGACCGTACTCTGTGATGATGTTTACAGAAACCCAACAATTCCCACCCAGAGCAGCACTAGGCGACAGAGGCAAGGAAAAACTTCAAGCAGGAAAACCTCGAGCAGAACCATGGCTCAGGGTGGGCGGCGACCTGCCTCGACCAGCTGGGGTGAAGGAGAGAGAGAGGGAGAGAGAGAGAGAGAGAGAGAGAGGGGAGGGTACAGATATAGATAGGTACAGATATTTATAGTAGTGTTAATGATAACAATCGTAATGTTAATGATTATAATAACAATAATAACAATAGGACTAGTAACAGTAGTTGCAGCAGAGGGCGTCGAGCAGGAACACGGGGGCAGCAGGTGACCCGCAACCACAGATCCAGACTCCACAGCTCCAGAGCCAGAAACACCTGCAGGAAGTGATAGGAGGAGAGAGGAGAGGGACGAGAAAGCACAAGACTACCAGAAAGGGGAGAAGTTGTGTTAGTAACATGCAATAATGGGATGAGGTTGCAGACAGAGGGAGAGAAAGTAGAGGAGAGAGGAGCTCAGTGCATCATGGGAAATCCCCCAGCAGTCTAGGCCTATAGCAGCATAACTAAGGGATGGTTCAGGACTCACCTGAGCCAGCCCTAACTATAAGCTTTATCAAAGAGGAAAGTCTTAAGCCTACTCTTAAATGTGGAGATGGTGTCTGCCTCCTGAACCCAAACTGGAACCTGGTTCCACAGGAGAGGAGCTTGATAGCTGAACGCTCTGGCTCCTAGTCTACTATTGGAGACTCTAGGAACCACAGGTGCATTCTGGGAGCGCAGTGCTCTGGTGGGGTAGTAAGGTACTATGAGCTCTTTAAGATAAGATGGTGCCTGACGACATGTCCTGATCAAAGATAACTCCAAGATTCTTCACAGTGGTGCTGGAGGCCAGGGCGATGCCATCAAGGGAAATAATCTAATATATATGATAAAATTGATGTTAGCATTGTGGCTAGAACCAATAATCCGCTTAAACAGCTTGACAGTCAGCCTGTGAACAAGTCAAAAAAGCAGGGGCCAATGTTACAAAAACATCCTTAGTCTGATCACTAATATCTACTCACAATCAGTCAGCTGCTGCAGGTAATTTAACATATTTTGATGGCAGGCAAATTAATAAAAATAAAGACAGCTCACCAACAAATCACAACAATCTAACAACACAAGATATGATGGTTTGCACAGATCTCCACTACTGTAACCCTGGAAAAATGTCAAAGTATTCATCAAACCAAAAATGGCTCATTCACTGCTGTAACATCTAATCAGTGTGTGTTGCATCTGTGGAATTGACTTGGTAGCCCCGCCCTAAAGCATCCCCTGCTTTATCGTCTATTTTCCTCTAAATGGGACCATAATTTACTAAATGAACATCATGCTGTGTTGAAGAAGACCTGAAACTAGCGAGTGAGACCATAAACTCACTAGGAAAGTGTTTACTGAGGTAATAAATCAGCTGAGAAGTAGGGTCATGACAATTCACTAGGTGGCGCTGTCGCAAAAAACTAGGGTCCTAGTTATAAAGTATAGGCTTGCACGTGACATATCCCTTGAGATAACTTCCTAGGTTAACGTATTTATAAGAACCCAAACCATGATGTTTTCCTAAATCTAAACGTAACCAAGCTTCAACCGTTTAGAGGGCGTGTCCTATCGTACCGTGGCCTCACAGAAAGACCCACTTGCAGTAATCTCCCACTTCTCACCATCAGTCTGCTGATTCGATCATGCCAACTGTTCACTCCAACACCCCATCCTCCTCTATCAAGCTAACTTGTTGTGCTGTTGTGTACTGATGAATATTTTATTCCACATTCACTAACACACACTTGTCAACCAGCCACTGTAGACACTGATGAAACATGATGACATTCAAAGCAACAGGGTCAACCCCGCCTCTTCCCTTGTCTCAGGAGTTCATCTGTAAAAGCTTTGTGAAAAGTTCTTGAGAGGAAGTGTTTAGCTGGAAAGACTGCTCGTAGTGAACTTTGTGAATTTGGCCATCGCTGGGTTTTGTAGCATCTCTGCAGAATGCTGACATTTCCCCAGTAATTTTAGCCAAGTACGTCAGCCTCAATCTAATGTCGCACATGTGGAGGTGACTGAGATGGGATTCTCAAAAGAAGATTTGAAAAGAAGAAGATCTCAAAAGAAGAATTGTCCTTTCCGTCTGCATAAAGATTTTCACTTAAGGGAGATTTAGCATGAAATATCTAAAACCTTTCACATCGGGCTCCTGCATAATAAGAGTCACAAACAAAAATAGGAAATAAATAGACAGAGACGGAGAAATGCGGTAACAGATGTCACAGGTTTATTTTCAGGGTGTTTTTTGTAACACCTTCAAGATTGTTGTGCTGTTTTGAGTGCTGTACATTTCTGCTTATTCAGGTAAACAGCAAGCATTTTTAAAAAGGTGTGAATGTGTGCATGCATGCTAGTCGAAGAGACACAGAGCAGGAGATAGCGTTTTTCATGAGTGTTATCGCAAGCGGGTGGGAGGTGTAAGTGAGTCAGCGTGGATGTGCAATAACACCTGCGAGTATGTCTCACTCTTTGGCAGCTCGATCCCTCGGGTCTCATGACGGCTGACAGAGGAGTGGGAGAGACAGACTGAGCTGAGAGGGAGGCTGGCAGAGTGAATGGGCGGCTGTCAACTGATTGTATCCATGTGCACGTATGTAAATGCTAATGCGTGTGAGGATTTGATGAATGTTGTAATCAGTGGATGAGTATTGTGCCAGCAGGATGAGGTACTGGATCTTAATCAAACAGTTTACTCAGAGCCGAACGTCACTTTGCCTCCGCAGATAGAGAGGAAAGTTAAAGATAGGGGGACATCATGCACACTGCCTGTTTTATTAGAATTCATGTGTATGTAATATTTACAAACATATAGTGTTTGTGTGGTTTTATGCATACGTATGTGTAAGATTCGTATTTGTTCATAGGAGTAATTGGGGTTTAACAAAAAACTGTACTGATTGCAAAGTCTGGGAATCTAACCATCATATTATGAACCATAAACATATTAGCTACACAATTTATCTGTAGTTTTGTTTTAAATGAAATTAATCACTTTTTTATTGCCCATTGCCTCAGATATAAATGAACCATTCACCTGCATTCTAGTCTGCATTTAACATCCTCTATGCCGATTCCCATGTTTAGAAATCGCAAAATCCATTGGTTTATGTAGGTTGGGATGTTCATGCTCGCTCCCGAGAACTGTACACACAGCGACAAGACCACAGCTAACACCAAATAATTACTCACTTTTTGACATTTAGGGTTCCGTGGTCAAGTTAGCAACAATAAATATGAAGGTCTAGTTAGACTTTCAAAATAAATGTACTTGTTTAAATTGAGAAAAGTCGCAATTTGGTCCCCCCCTGTGCATAGAAGTAAGACGTTAAGGGGCTCCAAATTGTGTTAGAAAACTGACACCAACGGGTCTTGACCATGCGTCCATATGTGACGAGCTATAACCTCGCCTCACGTCGTTACGTCAGCTTTACCCCAGTATATTTTATAACTGTTGGCTCTTCTTAATGATCCCTCTCCAACAAAACTTTTATTCTTATTTAGATTTTATGCTTCTGGCTGAGTCAAACCGGCAGTTTAAATTGAGTTATATAACTAAAGTTCAGGAACAGGACCTCTCTCCTACTAATTCGACCACCTGTGCCTCATTCAATTTCTCCAATCACACCGCCCTTGCTTCACTCATTACATCCACCTGTGCCTCTCTAATTCAATCACATGCGCATTCGTAAATAAGCCTGTCTAACGCCTTTCTGTCCCGTTTCTCAGATCCCTCACATCTTTTAATGGGCTGCACGGTGGCCCAGTGGACAGCACTGTGGCCTCACAGCAAGAAGGTCCTGGGTTTAGACCTCGCTCAGGCCAGGCCTTTCTCCATGGAGTTTGTATGTTTCCCCCAGGTGCTCCGGTTTCCTCCCATCATCAAAAACATGCACACTAAAATCCATAATTCTGCCAAAGTAATCGTTTTGTCTTTTTTTCTACAACAGGAACCACGGGGGCGGGGGGTGGTCGATAAGCAAGCCGCTTATCGAGATGAGCCCCCACCCTGAGTCTCGACCCCTCCGGCCACCAAACCCTTAACAACCTCCTTCATCCCTCCATTCTCAACCCCTTCATCACTCTTCCCTCGATCCCTCCATCATAATACTCATTTTCTGAATAAACTACCTTTTCATACCCCACATTGGCGTGGTCTTTGTTAGTGAAATGAGCAGCGCGCCTCTAAATTTGGTGCCCTCTTCAATTCATTTAGCAATGTGCCTCCTGATATCTCCTTCACAAATGATTTGGTCAACTATTTAAACCTTGTGTTCCTTAACCCTTGATATCTCATGGTCCCTCTGAAAAACAGACAAAACTTAATATCTGAAAAGCAGCCCTGGTAAAATGCAAATATCAGAAGCTGCAATGGGGAATGCAGGAAAAATAAATCTGGTCTCCAGGTCCACTTCCATGAAAGAGCTACTGTCCCCGTAAAACAGTTTGGTGAAAGATGCAAGAGCTTGCCATTTCAAAAATCTTATTGCTGCCCACCAGCACAATCCCAGTTTATTTTTTAAGACTCTCCCTGCCTCTCCCTGTGCAGATTGTGATGCAGATTGTGAGACATTTTTATTACACTTTGTCGTTAAAGTGGAATCATTAAGAGCCAGTATTAGCCCAAACCCTGCCTTTTTAAATGTTGTTCACCCTACCCAGGATCCTTGGAGTTACTTTCTTTACTCCATTACCTTTCTTCCATTACCATGGCAGAACTTTTAGAAACTACAGTATGTAGCAGATAAAGTAATCCTCTAGCCCTCTTGATCTGATCCCAGCAAGTTTTTAATTGAAGTTATGGAGTATATTAACCCCCACTTGCTTTTGTAACATTGATTTCTAACAGCTCACTATCTCATGGTTGTGTCCTGCATGTGTACAAGATGTCCTAAAAAAACCTAGCCTTGACCCCATCATCCTTGACAACTACCGCCTAATTTCTAAAGGGCCTTTTCTTTCAAAAACCCTTGAAAAGATGGTTCCTATGCTGCTCTTTGCTGCAATGAAAAATAACTGTATCAAGTTTCAGGCTGGTTTGCATAAGCATGACAGTACTGAGACAGCACTCCTGAAAGTTACTAATGACCTCCTAATGAATGCTAATGCAGGCATCTGTTCTATACTGTATACCCAGCTAGTTGCTAGATTTGAGTACTGCCTTTGACACCATTAATCATGGCATCCTGTTGAACAGACTGAGGTACTGGATGGGGGTATCTGGTACTGCACTGAACTGGTTTGCTTCATACGTATCCAATTGGAAGTTTTATGTGTCTATAAATAATGTCTTCTTTTTCTACCATCAACTACGGTGTGCCTCAGGGGTCAATCCTTGGACCTATTCTGTTTTCTATATATATGCTCCCTGTGGGTGATGTTATACGTATGCATGGTATTTCTTTCTATTACTATGCGGATGATACACAATTACCTGTTAAGCCAACTGATCTGGGTATCCTGAGTTCACTACAGCACTGCCTCACTGACTATAAATTGGATGTCCGATAATTTTGTAAAACTTAATTCCAACAAAACAGAAATTCTGATTATTGGTCTTCAACATATCACCAATCAAATTCTGCCCTCTGCTAGCGACTTGTGAACCCTGTTGTAAGAGATCTTGGCGTTTTGTTCGGTAGTAATTCATGTGTTGGCCTTTTACTTGCCTCAATCAAAAAAACCCTGAATAGATTACAAACTGTACAGAACTCATCTGCTTGGCCAACTAGGACAAGGAAATATAATCATATCACCCCTGTTTTAGCATCCTGGCTTCCTGTTTGCTTTAGCATTGATTATACGATTTTATTGATTACTTTTAAGGCTATTCATGGCCTCCTTGTGGTCTTCTTGTGGTCTAAGATCTTCTGACAGGGGCCTCTTGTCAATTCCTGGATCCAGACTAAGAACGAAAGGTGACAGAGCATTTGCTGTCAGGGCCCTGAGGCTCTGGAACGACTTGCCTGAGGAAATTAAACTGGCGGGGTCGGCCTCTTCTTTTAAATCTCTTTTAAAAACTTATATTTACCGGAAAGCATATCCCGAACCTCGGATTGAAGAGGAACAATGCGGTTTTCGTCCTGGTCGTGGAACAACAGAACAGCTCTTTACTCTCACTAGGATCCTGGAGTGGGCTTGGGAGTATGCCCATCCAGTCTACATGTGCTTTGTAGATCTGGAGAAGGCGGATGACCAGGTCCCCCAGGAGATACTGTGGGAGGTGCTATGGGGTGAGGGGGGCCCTTCTCAGGGCTATCCAATCCTTGTACATCCAAAGCGAGAGCTGTGTCAGAGTACTCAGCAGTAAGTCGGACTCTTTCCAGGTGAGGGTTGGCCCTCGCCAGGGCTGCGCTTTGTCACCAATCCTGTTTTTGATATTCATGGACAGGATATCAAGGCGTAGTCGTGTTGAGGAGGGGTTACGGCTCGGTGGGCTCGGGATCTCGTCACTGCTTTTTGCGGATGATGTGGTCCTGATGGCATCATCGGTCCGTGACCTTCAGCTCTCACTGGATCAGTTCGCAGCAGAGTGTGAAGCGGTTGGGATGAGGATTAGCACCTCTAAATCTGTGGCCATGGTTCTCAGCAGCAAACAGGTAGGGAATGAGTCCTTACCCCAAGTGAAGGAGTTCAAGTACCTCGGGGTCTTGTTCAAGAGTGAGGGGAGACTGGAGCAGGAGATTGGCCGGAGAATGGGAGGCGGTAGGGCACTCGCTTTACCGCACCGTGGTGCCGAAAAGAGAGCTGAGCCGTAAGGCAAAGCTCTTGACCTACCGGTCAATTTTTGATCCTACCCTCACCTTTGGTCATGAAGGCTGGATCATGACCGAAAGAACGAGATCACGGGTACAAGCGGGCAGGTGGCTGGTGTCTCCCTTAGAGATATGGTGAGAAGCTCGGTCATCCGCAAGGAGCTCAGAGTAGAGCCGCTGCTCCTTTGCGCTGAAAGGAGCCAGTTGAGGTGGTTTGGTGATCTTTATTCTTTCATTCCCTATTTTACCCTCCTGTATCTAATTACCCGTTGTGGTTATTCTTTGCATTTTATGTGTGTTGTGTCAATTTATGGTTACTTTGCTTTAGTTGTACTGAGCAATCCAAGCCTTGATTCACCCAGGGCTCTCAGGGCACTCCCAAACTGCAGGGGGCAATCATGCAACTACAGGGGGCAATCATGCAACAAAAGTTGGTGGAACCAACTTTTGGGGAAGTAGCTTTGGGACTATATTTGCCTGCGCACCCACAGAGAGAGCATGGCATTGAAATGTTTGTAGAGAGTTCGGTTGGTTCTCTCATTTATTCCTGGAAAAGGACACTATGATTACAGCTCCTGATCACTCAAAGACGCAACTGGTAGGACAATTTATGATTGACTGTGTTTGAATATATTGAGTTTTAAATGTTCAGGTTCTGCTTGGATTGTAATTTGCAATTTAAAATAAGTAATGGGGATTTGTTATGTGAATGTTGAACTTGATAGAAGTAACATGTGCATGAGTTTAATTACGGGATTGGTATTTTCTTGTTAAAATCCTAGGTTAGACTTAAGGATCGTGTTTAGTTTGGTTTGAAGATTCAATAGCATTTATTTATTACTTCTGTGAGAAAGTGGTATTGTGATTTATGTGTGACTGATTCATGACTTATCTGTAACTAATTCATGTTTTGGTTTGTGCATTTGAAAGGTTATCAACCTATACCTACTGCCCCACACTGATCTATCAAGTCACATTCAAGAAACTATACCATATTATTCCATCACTGGTCTATCAAACCATCTCAAAGAAAATAAAGAATCAAGAAGTGAAAAGATTGAGTTGTCCTTTGCGTTCTTCAGAGAGAAAAGCAGTTTTCAAGTTTGGGCTGAGCTGTAATCAATTAAAAACACACAGAACTTGACAGTTGATAACCACGGGTGGCAGTGAGAATAAGGATAAAAGGCCTGAAGTCAAGCTGTCAACGCAAAGGAAGAATTGACTGGAAACTTTTTCACCATGGCAAAGGAAACTCTTGGGAAGACAGTCAAGCAACTGAAACAAGAGCGGACCTTAGCTAAATCTGCTTTCACCAAGCAAGCAAACTACCTGAGCAAAGCTGCAAATGAGATGATTAAAGGTGAACTTCAAGAGGAGTTCAGCAAACTTAGTTCCTTGGCAAGACATGTCAGCGATGCAAATGATGACTACGGAGCTGGTCTACTGACTGAAGTAGGAACTGAGGAGGATGAAGAAGTCAAGCTCAACAAGCACCAGCAGGCTGAACTTGAAAAGACAATGGAAGAGTGTGACATGAGACTGGGGGACATCCGTGAGGCAGTCCAAGCCAACCTCTGGTCAAGATATGGTAAAGAGGAGGTAGACTTTGCAATCCAAGAAGCGGAAAAAGCCTGTGACAGAGCCCAAGCAAGCCCCATCACTGCTATCAATAGAGACGGCTATGAACTGCAGCTGGAGAGAGCAAGGAAGCTAATCCATGATGCAACTGTAAGCCTGAAAGACTGGGAAAAATGGATCCCACATGATCAGACAGCAGACCTGAAAGGCAGATTAAAAGACCTGAGAATATTCGGGAGCAACCTTGAGGCCAGAAGAGCAGAATTCCTCACCGCACAAAAAATTGCAGAAGAGAAAAGAAGAGGTCCAGACCAACAGCCTCAACCAACAGCAGTTCCACAACCAGTGGTGAGAATAAAGCCAACCAGTCTACCTAAATTCACTGGGATTAGGAGAAATTTCCATAGATGGAAGAGAGACTGGGAAAGTCTGCAAAAGCAGGGAGAACCGAGTGGATCAGTGGAAGTGAAGAAGTTTCAACTCCTTGACAGTGTGGATGAAAGGATATGTAGAGACCTGGGCTTGTCAACATACAACAGTGCTGAAGACATATTGAGAGTACTTCAAAACAGGTATGGAAACAAGCCAACGATTGCTTTGGAGATAATTGAGGACCTAGAGAGGATCCCTCCTTTAAAGTCACACCAGCCAAGGAAGGTAATTGACCTAATTCAGGCTGTGGAAAAGGCCCTGAATGACCTTACGGAGCTCGAAAGCACGGGAGCCATAAAGAATCCCCTTGTGATCAGATCCATAGAGAGCAAGCTCCCAGATAATATAAAGAGGGACTGGCTGGCGTTCATGGTCAATCC